CTGGTGCCCTTCCATGACCCAGGTAATGTAGATAACAGAGAACAGATGCGCGCTTAAATCTGTCCTGCTTCTTTATGTTTCAGACTTTTCTTACTCTGCAAATATGATCGTTTGCTTTGAACAGAGAAAGGGTCTATTAAACGATTTTCAGTAGTCAGGGGAAAAAAAATAAATAAATAAATAAAATATATATATATATATATATATATATATATATATATTTTATTTATTTATTTATTTTTTTTCCCCTGACTACTGAAAATCGTTTAATAGACCCTTTCTCTGTTCAAAGCAAACGATCATATTTGCAGAGTAAGAAAAGTCTGAAACATAAAGAAGCAGGACAGATTTAAGCGCGCATCTGTTCTCTGTTATCTACATTACCCGGGTCATGGAAGGGCACCAGAGCGAAGTTATACAGCGGTCTCTTCGGTCGGCTCAGAGATGTTTCCAAAATCTTGGAAGCTCCCTCGATGACCTGGACCAGGTCGTCGTACATGGAACCGGTAACATCGAAAACAAAAGCCAGGGTGGATGCGCCCTCGGGGATGTCCTCATTCCTGACCTGCGTGCCTGAGTCCTGCGCGGCTGAAAACGCCACTGAGAGAAAGAATAAAAGCCACATAACTTCACCGGTTCCAGAAACCTTCTCTGACAGAGTTCTCTGATGGCTCATTTGTTCACGCCAGTGGGACCTTCAGGGAAAGTCTCGACATGAGCGCAGAGACATCAGAGCGCTTTATGCGCAGTTTGAGTCAAATAAAGAGGCTCCTTCTGTGCGCTTCTGTGGTTCCTGCAGTTTGCGCTATAGTCCCAATCACAGCCCCTCTGGCACTGGCTCTCACAGGTCTGCAGTCAGGAGCCCTCATCTGCTGTGTCATAAAAAGACCACCTCTACACTGGCCACACAATCTACAAGGCGCAAAACTGATCCCATTGGACGAGAGGTTTTGCCAGACATCCTGTGCGTATTTTAAACTCTGCCAAAATTTGAGCAATTTACATTGTTTAAGTAGAAGTAGAAACCTCAAAGCTTTTTTTTTCACAGATTTATTTAGATTTTTTTTTTCTAATCCAACTGATCCAATTTCATTAGATGGAACGGTTTGAAATTCTGGATATTTAACAGTCACTGATGTGAAACAAGTCGAACCCAGATGTGCAAAGATTCCTGAATTTTTGCTGTCTGTAAAGTAATATATATTGCCACCTAGCGGTGATATGCTGACATTACATTAAAATTTCAAAACCATAAATTTCTAATAATTTAGATTTTGACTTATTCTTTTCCTGAGCTTTGTTGTGATGGGTCCTTCTCAACTTACTTTAGTGATTTAAAAGCTGTCTAAGTCTAAAAAGATGGCCTCATTGGTCTTTTTAAAAGACCAATCAGGATCAGCTTGCATGTCTTTTAAGTGGTCCCAGCAAGTGATCTCTCATTTTCTGTTTGCTTGGTACAGCAGATATGAGTCGTCAGTGGCAACCAAGGTGTATGAAGGGTACAGTCTTAAGGGTACCCAGTGCTGTGAGGTATGACACTGTAGGAGGCTTCCTGCTAAGAAAGTAGGATGCACAGTGCTGCGTGTCGCGAGTCCGTAACATCATCAATGATCCCTCACACCCCCACCATGGACTGTTCTCCCTGCTGCCCCATGGGAAGAGGCTTTGCAGCATTCCATGCAGGGCCAGCAGATTCTGCAACAGCTTCTTCCCCACTGCCATCAAACAGCTGAACTGTTGAGAAAACTCTAAATCATGTCACAGACTCTGCATCACACTGATAACACCAAACCAAAACACTGCATATTTTCACCATATATATTAATGCTCTGAGCTTCCATATCAATGGATTTTTGCACCATGTTTTTTTCTCCAACACTGTTTACATTTGATCACTGCTGCACTTTAAGAAACGGAAACGTGTGGACAGCTGCACAAAACAAAATTTTGTTTTGCATACACTCTGTGTATACAAAATGACAATAAAAGTTGTTTAAGTCTAATGGCCTCATTGGTCTTTTTAAAATTCAGGATCAGCTTGCATGTCTTTTAAGTGGTCCAAGCAAGTGATCTCCTCACATTCAGACAGTTTTCTGTGTGCTTGGTACAGCAGATATGAGTCGTCAGTGTGAACCAAGTTGTATGAAGGGTACAGTCTTAAGGGTACCCAGTGCTTTGAGGTATCAAAATTTCGTTTTGTATACACTGTTTGTATACAAAATGACGATAAAAGTTGTCTAAGCCTAAACCCAGGGCTGTGGCTGGGTTGTTTGCTGTAGGATGATTGCATGGTACTGAATGTTTTTTGTTTCTTCCATGTGCTGCAAGCTTGGGTGTATTGCAGAGCAGATGGCATCTGCTGTAAAGCAATGGAAGCAGGTAGATAAACTGGCATTAATCCGTTTTTAAGGTATACCAAGTTTTTAAAGGGGATTGATTCAAAACTGCTTAGATTTCCTATCATACATTTTTTGTTTCTACAGTAGCATATTTTAAGCTGCCAAAGAGTGATGAACTTTTCCCTTCATCTGTCCTTACTCATGTAGCTTTAATCAGCTGATTGAAGGACACTTTAGTCAGTTTAGAAAGATTCCTGATCATCAAAACGGGGTTTTAAAACTAACATTGCACCATCTTTCCCTTTCATCAAGGTGTTATTTCTTTTACATTTAGCACCAGTAGTTAAGCAGTACACGATACCCTACATCAAGCTGTTCAACAAATAATTCAATTCAGTTTATTTATATAGCATCAATTCACAACACATGTCATCTCAAGGCATCTCCAGTCAAACTGATTCAAAGTTTTCTATCTAAGGAAAAAACGTTGATTGCATCGGCTCATTGACTCGAATGCAATCCCTCACAAAAAAAAAAAAAAATACAGTGTTGGTTTATAGATTAAAGCATGCAGAATGTTGAAGTTCAGGATTCATTTTACAATGCAAAGTCCTTTAGCGCCATTGGAAAAAAAGGAACATAACAAAAAGCAAATGACTTCCAGCAATCACTAAACTCTGCTAATTTGAATCATAAAGGTTTTTAAATGCAGCTTCAATAAATGAATGTTGGGTTTGCTTTACAGCAATAAACTGTGAAGCTTGGTCTGCATTTCAGTTACTCATCTGAAACAGTAAAATGCAATAAAGTCTGGGGAATTTCAGACTTAATGAGAGAGCAATTTTCCAAACAGCTATGCCAACTGCACGTAGACACAGTTTACTGACACCAGGATGGTCAGTTCAGTTATATCGACCTAAATTCATTTTATTGACAGTGTATAACACCAATTCACAATACATGTTCTCTCAAGGTACTTTACAGAATCATTCAATAAAAGCATAGAAAAAGATTAGTTAGAAGTTTATATAAAGAAAGCCAGATGACTTTGAGTCATTGACTTGCAGGATTCATTTCAACTGGATGGACATGTAGTGACAGTAGACATTTGGTTGTTTCATTGACTCTACAGCATTCCCTCTGTCAAACAGGGAGACCAGGGAAAAGGTTTAACAGGTTTTATTGAAGAGATAATGCAGAGAGAAGTCTTGCTCTGAACACTCTGCAACCGGAACTGAAAAGTGAGGGGAAGACACAGCGGTTAGTTCAGGCTCAGTGGGAAATTTGACTCGTGAACTTGGAGAGGAGGATTTGGCTGCTGACTCATGATTCCAAAGAAGTTGTTGAATCCTTGACTCCTGTCGGTGTGCTGTAGTTCCAGTGTTTGTCTGATTCGGTGGAGGGCGGAACAGGGTTTACCCAGAATGCGGTTGATAGTTGGTGAACGGAGAAACTGACTCCCACTCAGATTTCCTGTGGTACTTGAACGGGTCGTAGTGTAGATAAATCCCTTTCTCAGTGTGAAGCTCAAACGATCTCTTGGGGAAAGTTGATCCAAACCTCCTGTTTGAACTCCAGCTCAGTTTGTAGCTCAGTTGATCCTTCCAGGGAGAGAAGGTCCGAAAAATCCCGTTTGCAGGATGACTTCCTGCCTAGAGGCAAAGACAAAAAGCAAAGTTAAAACTCAGGTTGACTAGAACTCAGTTTGACTCAGCAAAACTCAGCTTGGCTAGAGTATCCAAAACTGGAAAACACTTTGGCATCGAGGTAGAGGCAGCTTAAGAACACTCCGTTAACAAGGAAACCATCAGCAGGTGTGTGAGGAGGCGGACCAGAACCAGGCGCCTCCTGGTGGAGGAAGGGAGACAAACACAGACAGGAGTCCTGACACCCTCACATCCAGCATGCATGCAGCGACAGAGGAGAGGAAAACTCCCTTTTAACAGGAAGAAACCTCCACTAGAACCAGGCTCAGTGTGAGCGGCCATCTGCTGAGGGTTCAAGAAAACAGAAGCAAACACACAAACCGAACATAGAAACATTGATCTATAAATACTTTCTATGCCAGAAAATGTAACAGAAAACTAGCTCCATAGGTGCCTCTGTCTAGGAAAGAAACAATTAGATAGATGATTACTGATCTGATTTTCATATCAAAGGGAGTGAATAGATTATTTACACTTAGTCATGGTAAGACTGCACCAACAGCCACAGTATGTCTAAATTGAAATGTAATAACAACAAATTTGGTTGATTTAAAATAAGATATCATTTAAAACATTAACAAATATAGTGCAGTGATTCTGCCAACCAATCGTTGGCGAGGGATTTGTCCACCTATCAACTACAGTGAATTAAGTCTGGTCAGTATTTTCATTTAAATGTTGATGCCAGAAGAATATAACTGACACATCAATGGCATATTATTTTTTATCTTCTGATTATAGGTAGGAAAAAAAAAAAAAACTCTCTGTAACAGTGTGCTTAATAAATGTTCAGCTTTTCTACTTATTGTTTTATAGACTCTCATGAAAGGATTCGTCCATGGTCCTCCACTTTTTCTTTGCAGCCAATTTCATCACCATCACCCTCATAATACTGAACTAAAACTAGATTCATCAAGATCAAGTAGTGGTGAAAATATCTGGACAGAATCTACAGATTCGTGCTAGTTGTACATGTTCTTTGCTACGAGTTGGTTACGTGTTTTGTTTAGATGCTACAGCAATATTTTCCAATTTGTAGTTTAATCTTCACAACAACACACATACTATTTGCCTTAAGTCATGTAATTTCACTAAAAGTTGTAGCGATATCAAATTTCCAAGAAAAAAAAAATCTGAATAATGTCTGTACACACCACCAACTGGATCGGCAGTCTTTTGTTGTAATATTTCAGTTTCTGTTTGCCTTCAAGAGTAATACATTTTGTACAGTGACCTTTGATTCTGAAACATAAAATCCATGCTAAACTGTGATCGCATTGCATCATCTCACTGATTATGGTTTTCACCCATGCTTTTTCTTCTTTATGCATAGTAGCCTCGTTTAGTTGAGTTTTACTAGTATAGACAAGTTTTTTAATTGGAGCGGAATGATTTTTGTTAAAAAACATTTATATTCTGATTGGAAGTGTCATGATCTGGCCTGTTTGCTCTCCCTTAATTAGTAATTCCTCTCACCTGTCGTTTTCCCCCCTCCCTCAA